TTAGGATTGATATTTCCCCTCTAGTCAGTCATGTTTTCTTTTTATGTTCAGTATGCATTTGTCTTGAAATGTGCTTTTAGGTGGGTTAATCCATCCACTGTTTGAAAATTATACTTGTGCAATGTGATACTACAGCTGGCATGGGTACTACCAGCAAGCAATCATCATTTTTGAAAATGTTACCTCGAGTCAGCTAATATGAGTTTCATTGAAACAGCAAACAATCCCTGCTTTCAAAACTGAATTAACCACATTCGATAATGGAGGAAAACAACAAGATATGCACCTATTTCCCAAGCAAGACTCTGCAAAGCTTGTGTGTTTTTCCCCAAACTGCATTGTGGGCTGAAATGTTTGTTTTGCTTTTTTTGTCTTTTTTTTGTTTTTTCATTTAGGTCATTTTAAATCCTACATTCAGTTAACTTGCATTAATTTATCACGTAGGTCTCAGCTTGCTTCCATCTATATAGCATATATGTCCTTATGTGTCGAATGATATAAACCAAAAAATGGCGGAGTGACTCTTAAAAACATTGCTCCAGCCTCTCTCGTGCGTCAAAAATTCACATGGTACTTTTAAATTTAATTTTATTTATTAGTTTTTTTTAGCCTACTGAAACTTCTGAAAAACCAATGGCTCCCTATAGAAGGAAAACTTTATCTTATCTAAAATCTTGTATGGCTGTTAAAAAATGGGTGTAGTCTAATGCAGTTTTGTAGTTAATCTGGTACAATGACTAAAATCAAGGTTTTTAAATTTTGTCAGTTCACCCCAAAAACCCAATTAAAAAAGTTGTCAGTGCCAAACAACAATATGATTTTTCACCTATGATTCATGAGTCCTAAATTACGTCTGTGAATCTACCCATAATATTATCTTGTATGGTACAAGTAAATGCACTTGTGTATACCTAGCTTTGTTATTTTTGCTTGTAAGTCATTCAAACAGGGTAAAACCACCAGCGCTGTTATAGCTCCATATTAGAGCTCCAAGTTTATAGAGTCCAAGTCCTTAAATCCAGTTTTTACGAGTATTATGTCCTGTCTACAGCAGTTTAATGGGCTCAGTTTAGGAGCTGTCTGTGCGTCCTGGACTCCTTAACAGACATTAGACGGTGCTGAAAACAGACAAGCTGATGTTGCAGCTGTAATTAGTGGTGGACAACAGCTCGTGACTCTGACTGCCATTTACCCATTTCTACCCACAATAAGTGGGATGAACAATCTTTGGCACACACACGCGCACACACACCAGGCATATAGGTTGCACTTCTACACACAGGACACATATTAACTTTATCGTCCTATTAAAGCACTCAACAAAGTTGGAGTGGAACAGTAGATGGATGGAGTAAATCTGTTTATGATCTGACAATTATTTCAATAAGATTGAAATAGTTTAAATACTTTTGTGTGAAGTCTTATGTATTAAGGATAAATTTAACAGCCAGTATGA